TACAATCCAAATTCAGACCTGTATCAAGCTTGAATATTGTGTCCATTTTTGCCCCAACTGTTCAGGGTTGGACCTCTGCCGGCGTATCCAGCTGCGCTCAGCGAAGCAGTTTATTCTGACATTGACCTAATATTGTAATAGCTTATTTATTTTGATTATTTCCCTTTAAACACATATGTATGTTTTTTTTAGTATAATACCAAGGGTTGATATTAAAAACAAACATTAACATTTGCTGCCAAAGTTGGTAAAAATTTTACTCTAAAATATCTTTTTTTGGAATGATATCAATATGAAAGGTTATTAATTTGCTCCTTCCTTACAACATATTGACTTTTGACAAGGGAACTTCAAAAACCATCTGGGTGATACAAATCAATTATATTATTAACTACATATGATTGTATAACAATCCAATATTTTAAACATCTACTCCTCAATCTACATATAGGGAGGTTATAAACATCTACTCCTCAATCTACATTAAGGGTGGTTATAAACATCTACTCCTCAATCTACATTAAGGGAGGTTATAAACATCTACTCCTCAATCTACATATAGGGAGGTTATAAACATCCACTCCTCAATCTACATTAAGGGAGGTTATAAACATCTACTCCTCAATCTACATTAAGGGAGGTTATAAACATCTACTCCTCAATCTACTTAAAGGGAGGTTATAGACATCTACTCCTCAATCTACATTAAGGGAGGTTATAAACATCTACTCCCCAATCTACATTAAGGGAGGTTATAAACATCTACTCCTCAATCTACATTAAGGGAGGTTATAAACATCTACTCCTCAATCTACATTAAGGGAGGTTATAAACATCTACTCCTCAGTCTACATTAAGGGAGGTTATAAACATCTACTATATTCATTCTACCCATCATCACTGTTAGGGATGTAGATATAAACATCGTAAGTCAAGATTGTATCAGCTGATTTTCATAATTCTCATGCACAGTGAAAATATACTTTCAAAGGGCCATAATACCTGTAAAATTAATTCTCGCCAATTTGACTCAGATTCTCATATTTGATATAACTTGCTAAAGCGTATATATAAATGATATTCAAATTACAAAAAGTCCAAAAGGTATAGTTAAGAATGCATGGACTGATTATAATGTATCAGCATTTTGTGCTTATTTTAGACCAGATGTCATCTAATTAACCATTGACATTACTTTTGCAAAATGCAGATATTCATATGACCCAATAAAACATAAATGTAGACAAGCATGTGCAGTCACAAAATGACGCCTTTCTTGGTATGTGTGATTTCATTTCATAGATTTAAAAAATGTGTAAATCAAAAAAAATTTTGTTCAAGGATTTTAACCACTATTGGACCCGGTTGGAAAAGTATAAAAAAAATAATACGACCAGTTGCAAGTGATTTTTTCAAAAGACCCACCTTACCTTAGTGAAAAATGGAGAACACTGTTGGTAAAAATGTATAATATATATATGCTTCTCAAAATTGTTTCCTGGGGTCCAAAATTGATTTTTTTTTTTAAATTGGAAAAAGATTGATGTTAAATCCTAGTTTTCTTTAAAATTTACAAATTTTGAGAAATATCATCTTGCTATTATTTGAACAAAAAAATGAGATGGTATTTATCATGAACACATCTTAATTTCTTGGTGTGAATTATGAAAATTGACTCCCTATGCAAATGGATTATTATTCATGCATCATTGCTTTCTGCCTTGCACAAAATGTGTCAGTTTGGCACTTACAGACATATCAGTTTTGTCTCGACTTGAAAGAGTCAAAAACTGAGACTAAGGTCTGTTACTAGCAGCGGCTGTGGCAAAAGCTTGTGATTAATTCAGTTTAAGGGGGATCATTTATGATAGGTTAATGATATTTGGTATGCAGTTGTATAAAGACTGGCAAATCTCATAGAGATTATTTGGTCCTGCCCCCTCAGTCTTGGACTATTGACTATAAAACTTTTACATAGTTCACGACTCACATGTTTAAGTTTGTGATAAGTAGATATAGGAAGATGTGGTATGAGTGCCAATGAGACAACTCTCCATCCAAGTTACAATTTATAAATGTAAACCATTATAGGTCAAGGTACGGCCTTCAACACAGAGCATTGGCTCACACCGAACAGCAAGCTATAAAGGGCCCCAAAAAATTACTAGTGTAAAACCATTCAAACGGAAAAACCAACGGTCTAATCTATATAAAAACGAGAAACGAGAAACACGTATGAACTACATAAACAGACGACAACTACTGTAATCAGATTCCTGACTTAGGACAGGTGCAAACATTTGCAGCGGGATTAAATGTTTTAATAGTACCAAACCTTCTCCCTTTTCTGAAACAATAGTATAACATCACAACATAGAAAAACACACTATAAAATATCAATTGGAAGGCTTAACTCAATCAAAAAATGTAAATTAACACACAATGAACGAATAAATTTGACCTGTGACACCTGAATGCAAATGTCAATTTAAGGGAAACCACTGATGATAATTAAGTCAATGAAATTTGGTATGCAGTTGAATAAGCATTGGCACATCTCATTTTTCATGAAGATTATTAGGCCCTTCCCTCTCAGTCATGACCTGTTGGCTTTAAAATGCATTGTTTCAATAGTAAAGTTTGTTATTAGATCAGTTTAAGGGGAACCACTTATGATGAGTCAATGTTATTTGGTATGCAGTTGTATAAGCATTGGCACATACCGTATAGCTAGTTATTTTCGCAGGGTGTTTATTTTTGCTTATTTTGGCGGGCCAGGAGAAATCACGAAAATAAATGCCACGAAAATTTATGCATATGTTCGATACTTTCCAAGTTAAAGTGTTTTGTAAACTATCTATTTTTTCCCTTTCGACGGATCAATCAGGGTTTTTGTTAATTTAAACAACATAAATGTCAAAGGCCATTGTTCACTGGCTATCAGGTGTTAATTAGTTTATTGGTTACATGATAAAATAAATAATAATATAAGAGTGTAAGGTACGCTGTCAGGTATTTTATCTTTATTAATAAGTGTCAAATTATATAAGAGTTGCAAGTCACTCATGATAATTTTATAATCTAATTAGTACATCAAAGGTCTGGTAAATTTCGTAACTCAGATCAACCGTAACATTTACAAGAAGTTTGTACACCTGTGAAAAATAACTATGTACCGGTATTCTATTGATTAACTGTATAAAAATAATCAATAAATAAATTCATGCAGGAAAAACAATCATTTAACCATAACAATAGACCCTTGTTTGACAATTTTTACAACTTTTTAACTGGAACCACTTCAGTATCCGCCAAAATATTTAATTGGGATTAAAGAATCTGCCAAAATAAAAACCGCCAAAATTTTTTGTATACTTTGTTGTCCCTTAATCGTGAAATTTTACACCCGCAAAAATAACCCGCTATACGGTATCTCATTTCCATAAAGATTATTTAGCAGTGTCCCCTCAGTCATGGTCTGTTGACTTCAAATTTTGCATTGTTTACTTGTTAAAATTTTTTATTAGTCAGTTTAAAGGAAACCACTAATGATAAGTCAATGATGTTTAGTATGCAGTTGTATGAGCATTGGCATATCTCATTTCTGTAAAGATTATTTGGCAGTGCCCCCTCAGTCATGGTCGATTGACTTCAACTTTTGCATAGTTTACTTGTTAATGTTTGTGATTAGGTCACTTTAAGGGAAACCATTTATGATAATTAAGTCAGTGTTATTTGGTATGCAGTTGAATAAGCATTGGCATATCTCGTTTCCATGGAGATTATTACATGTATCAGGCCCTGCCCCCTCAGTGATGGTTATTTGGCTTTAAAATGCATTGTTTTAATGTTAAACTTTGTGATAAGGTCAGTTAAAGGCGAACCAAGTCAATGATATTTAGTATGTTTTTGTATAAGCATTGGCACATCTCATTTCCATGAAGGTTATTTGGCCCTGTGCCTCAGTCATGGTCTTTTGACTTTGAAACTTTAGCATGGTTTATATGTTAAAGTTTGTGATTAGGTCAATTCAAGGGGAACCACTTATGATAAGTCAATGATATTTGGTATGCAGCTGAATAAGCATTGGCATATCTTTTTTCCATGGAAATCTTTGTTGCCTTGTACCTTCAGTCATTGACTGTGAATATTTTGCATATTTTACATTTCAATGTATTATCAACACTTGCGTTTTACTATCTAAATTACATACAGGTCTAGTTCATACAAGCAATATTGTTAGATTCACAATCATGAACAAAGGAAGATAACTCCATCTTAAATTTATAATTTGCCTTTCTGATTACAATTCAATGTTTTATTTTAAATTTACAAAACTCCATAGGTTTTACCTTGTGTTATTCCAATTTGAAGCAGTTTTCTTCTCCAAAACCTGATAGGTGCACAAGTTTCCTGACAGATTTGATTTCGGCAAAAAATAGAGATAACCACAAAGGGGTAGTGTTTGAATAACCATACTTGTCAAGAAAACTTTTCTTTATTGAAAATTACATAAGTAATTCATGGTGTATGATTCTGTTATAAGAAAATAAGAAGCACTAAAATCATAACCCCATCCAAAAGAACTATACCTCCCCCCCCCCCCCCAAAAAAAAAAAAGAAAAATAAATAATAAACTAAAAAGACTACAAATTCGAAAGTTATGAGAAATGAAAGGAATATCATGAAGGGAATTTTTCAACAGAAATAGAAATTTTTATTGATTCATATTGACCTTTGATTCAAGTGCTTTAGATATCAAAGATGTATGATTTATTTTAGCTGGGCATGTTGCGGTGTCACTTTCTAAACATAGGATATATCTAAGGAAAGATAACAAGATCAAATGGACCATTTGAATATATAGCATTTATTGATTTTCCTTTTAAAGTTCTTGTCCTGAAAATTCTAATAGCATTTCAAGCCAGATTATGTGTTAATATGATTTTTGGTTCATACTTAATATTCTTATTCGATAATGATACAATGTATAATTGTAGGGATCTACCCAACAGATCAACATTTTCTTGTCCTTTTTGTGGAGAAGCAAACTTGGATACTAATGGAATGGTCAAACATTGTAATGAAAAACATACGAATGAATCCTCGGATGTGGTAGGTATTTGGAATCTCAATAAAGCAATCATGTCAACAAAATCATGTCAACAAAATTCAAGTGTGATAGCTTCAATAGAAACACATGTAAATGAGCCTTATGATTTGGACACTGTCATAGAAAGCATGTAAACAAACAGTCAAATATGAACATTTCAATGAAAAACATATAAACAAACCTTCAGATGTGATCACTATGATAAAAACATGTAAACAAACCTTCATATGTGAACATGACAATGGAATACATGATAACAAACCTTCAAATGTGATCACTGCAATGGAAAACATGTAAACAACCCTTTAAATGTGATCACTGCAATGGAAAACATGTAAACAAACCATCAAATGTGATCACTGCAATGGAAAGCATGTAAACAAACCTTCAAATGTGGTTCCTGTGACAGAAAACATGTAAACAAACCTTCAAATGTGGTTACTGTGATAGAAAACATGTAAACAAACCTTCAAATGTGGTTACTGTGATAGAAAACATGTAAACAAACCTTCAAATGTGGTTACTGTGATAGAAAACATGTAAACAAACCATCAAATATGATCACTGCAATGGAAAACATGTAAACAACCCTTCAAATGTGGTTACTGTGATAGAAAACATGTAAACAAACCTTCAAATGTGGTTACTGTGATAGAAAACATGTAAACAAACCTTCAAATGTGGTTACTGTGATAGAAAACATGTAAACAAACCTTCAAATGTGGTTACTGTGATAGAAAACATGTAAACAAACCATCAAATGTGATCACTGCAATGGAAAACATGTAAACAAACCTTCAAATGTGGTTACTGTGATAGAAAACATGTAAACAAACATTCAAATGTGATCACTGCAATGGAAAACATTTAAACAAACCATCAAATGTGATCACTGCAATGGAAAACATGTAAACAAACCTTCAAATGCAAACATGACAATGGAAAACATGTAAACAAACCTTCGGATGTGATCACTGTGATAGAAAACATGTAAACAAACATTCAAATGTGATCACTTCAATTGAAAAAATAACAATGGAAAACATGTAAACCAACCATCAAATGTGATCACTATGATAGAAGACATGTAAACAAACCTTCAAATGTGACCACTATGATAGAAAACATGTAAACAAACCTTCAAATGTAACCACAAAAATGGAAAAAATGTAAACAAACCTTCAAATGTGATCACTGCAATGGAAACATATAAACAAACTTTTAAATGTTATCATTGCAGTAGAAAACTTGTAAACAACCCTTCAAATGTGAACACTGCAATGAAAAATATGTAAACAAAGTTTCAAATGTGGCCCCTGTATTAGAAAACATGTAAACAACCCTTTAAATGTGAACTCTGCATTGAAAAATATGTAAACAAATCTTCAAATGTGGCCACTGTATTAGAAAATATGTAAACAACCCTTTAAATGTAAACACTGCATTGAAAAATATGTAAACAAACCGTCAAGTGTGGACACTGTAATAGAAAATATGTAAACAACCCTTCAAATGTGAACACTGCAATGAAAACTATGTATAAACAAACCTTCAAATGTGGCCACTGTATTAGAAAACATATAAACAACCCTTCAAATGTGAACATTGCAATGGAAAACATGTAAACCAACCAATAAATGTGATCACTATGATAGAAGACATGTAAACAAACTTTTAAATGTTATCACTGTAGTGGAAAACATGTAAACAAACCATCAAATGTGATCACTGCAATGGAAAACATGTAAACAAACCGTCAAATATGGACTTTAAAAAAAAACATGTAAACAGACCTTCTAATGTGATCACTTTAATAGAAATCATGTAAACAAACCGTCAAAAAAGATCACTACAATGAAAAACATGTAAACAACCCTTCAAATGTGGACACTGTAATAGAAAACATGTTAACAAACATTCAAATTTGAACACTGAAATAAAAAAACATGTAAACAAACCTTCAAATGTAAACACTGCATTGAAAAATATGTAAACAAACCGTCAAGTGTGGACACTGTAATAGAAAATGTGTAAACAACCCTTCAAATGTGAACACTGCAATGAAAACTATGTATAAACAAACCTTCAAATGTGGCCACTGTATTAGAAAACATATAAACAACCCTTCAAATGTGAACATTGCAATGGAAAACATGTAAACCAACCAATAAATGTGATCACTATGATAGAAGACATGTAAACAAACTTTTAAATGTTATCACTGTAGTGGAAAACATGTAAACAAACCATCAAATGTGATCACTGCAATGGAAAACATGTAAACAAACCGTCAAATGTGGACTTTAAAAAAAAACATGTAAACAAACCTTCTAATGTGATCACTTTAATAGAAATCATGTAAACAAACCGTCAAAAAAGATCACTACAATGAAAAACATGTAAACAACCCTTCAAATGTGGACACTGTAATAGAAAACATGTTAACAAACATTCAAATTTGAACACTGAAATAAAAAAACATGTAAACAAACCTTCAAATGTAAACACTGCAATAAAAAAACATGCAAACAAATCTTAAAAAGGTATCCCAATTCTTGATTTGTGGCAGAACAGAAGAATACATTTTAACAAACCTCAAATGAATTAGAAAATACTTCATTCAGTAGAAAAAGTCATATTTATAACATAATATTGTTTTTTTTACAGGTGTGCCCTATATGTTCATCAATGCCCTGGGGTGATACCAGTCAAAGAAGTGTAGATTTTATGCAACATTTGAATCTAAGGCATAAATTTAGTTATGACACCTATGCAGTAAGTAAATTTATGAAATAACTCTAGTATAATGAGATATGTTGTTTTATTGGATTGGTATACACCAATTTCTAGTTTGACAACCGTTGAAGGATTTAAGATATTTTCCCATAATTGTTAAGGGCCACAAAGGAAAAAATGATGTCTGTCAAGATAGACTACTTTCTGATTACCCAGGTACATTGATGACTGATCAAAGAAGTTTCCAGGATTATAAACATTATATATGATATCTAACATGTATAATAATCAATTCTAGTGGGTAATACATTATCAGGTGACATGGAATAATTCATGTTAATTTTTTATTTAAATGCAAAAAGGAGAAATTACTCCAAAAATTTACACAGAGAGATGAATAACCCTATTATTCACATGAATAACTGATGAATAGCCTTTTCAGCTTCTTGATTTGTACACTTGTTATCTCCCATCAAAATGATGTCATAGATGTATGTAAAAAAAATGGCAACGGCCAGGTATGAAGTCCATCAAGTGATCAGGTAACAAAGCCTGGTAATTCATTTAGTGCTGATGATACCCATTACAAATGGTCCCTTTAAGAGCCATGAATATTTAACAGAAAGATTCTACATTTGAAATTCTAAGACTCAAAATAATTCTCTGACGTAAGTGTTTTGACAATCTGTAGTTACAGTTAGGCATGTGCTTCTTTTAAATTTATCTTCAATGGTTCAAAAATACTTTCAACTATTTGATAGACATAATAAAACAGTTGTGGCACCTTAGAGGCAGTGATTTTCAAAATTGTCAACCCTAAATAGTCATTTCACTTTGGTCTGTGCCCTCAGGGAAATAACCTTAACCAGTCTTGTTTTAAAATGGTATTGGAAAAGGAAATTGAATCTTTGTATCTGTAAGAAATTGGGATATTTCTTAAAATTTTCATATTAACATTAATGACCCATAATCATCCAATCTCACAGTCTTTATACCTACTACATTGATTATTATTTTACTTAATAACAATTTTTAAAATGACATGTAGGTTTTAATTACAAATTATCATCCCCGTCAACCTTCCAAAGTGGGATATCCCCATGAGAGGAGTTGATCTGACTCTTTTAATCCTCAAAATACATAAATTGAATACCTCAAAACATACTTAAAAAGGAGTTATAATGACATTTTAGTACAAATGTACTCATTCAAAACCATAGTATATTTGATCGAAAATGGTTATGATGTCTGTAGGATATGAATTATGTCCCTTTGTTTGTACAATTCCTATGGACATTTTACGACTTTGGCACTTATGAATCTCTCCTAGTGTTACAATAAAATTGTGTTAAATCATATCAACTTACAGTTTAAAATCCTACAATAATCAATTAAAACTCTTTTTCAGGATTTTTCATTGGATGATGATCAGATGTTAGAGAGAGCACTGCAAGCATCATTACAGGATGTGTGATAAAGGAATATTGAATTAATATATATTGTGTTATACTGGAATGATAAATCCAGCCGATAGATATTCTCAGAACGCCAAGTCCAAAAGTCTTATGTCAGTAATGTCCATAAATGTATGTCTAGTGTCCATCTTTACCTTCCATTTATATGATACTGCAACTAATGTGTCAATTTTTTAAAGCATAAACTTTTCACATTCTCACCAATCTATATATAGCTATATACAGATTGTCATTTCTCTTCAGATTATTTTTGAATTATGTTCTCACTGAGAGATTTCATGTAGCTGTGATAGCTTTCAATGGTACTTCAGTGGATTTTGTGTATTTTGTGTGAGCTATAAAGTGCTAAAGTGGAAGAATATTGAACTTTTACATGTCACATATACAGTCTGCACCAAAATCTTTTCCAACTACAAGTCTGGAGACCAATATTCCAATATTTTTCCCATGTGTCTAAATAATGTTTTGCAAATACTTACTAGTCAACAATTGTTAAGTTTTCTGCTTAAGTTTGTTTGATAGGAACTACTTGTGGTAGATCATTGATACTTAATATGAAGTTGCATTACTATCAGCACATATCAGTTTGACGACTATTTTGAGGCCCTGCTCCCTAGGTCATGGTCCAGTTACTTTGAATTTTAATTAGCAATTTTCAATGTTAAGTTTTCTGCTTAAGATAGTTTGATAGGATCTACTTGTGAAAGATCAATGATATTTTGTATGAAGTTGCATTACTATCAGTTCATATCAGTTTGACAACTTTTTGGAGGCCTTGCCCACTAGGTCATGGTCCAGCCACTTTCAATTAGTAAGCAATTTTTGATGTTAAGTGTTCTGCTTAAATCAGTTTGATAGGATCTACTTGTGATAAATCAATGATTTTTTGTATAAAATTGCATTACTATCATTACATATCAGTGTGGCGACTTTTTTGAGGCCCTGCCCCCCCTCCCCCCCCCCCCCCCTTTGGACGTGGTCCATTGACTTTCAATTAATTAGCAATTTTCAATGTTAAGTTTTCTGCTTTACTTAAATTGATAGGAACTACTTACAATAGACACAACGATATTTTCTATAAAGTTACATTACTGTCTGTACATCTCAATTTGTCTACCATTATCAGGCCCTGCCCACTAGATCATGGTCCAGCAATTGAATTAATAAGCAATGTTGGTGTGCATCAGATTGTCTTATTTTGAATTTTATGCCCATTGGCGAGACATATCTCTGTGTCAACAGTTTATTTAATATCATATTAGGTTGGGTATTTTCCCCTTGAGAGCTGTCAATAGTAAACAACAAATTGTCTATAAATGATATGGTTTCAGGGCTATAATAGGTCAGCAGTTATGTTCAGTAATGTACTGTAGCCTACTCTTGCATGTGATGTACATTTGTTCAATTTATGATGTTGATTTGCTGTGTTTTTTTTCATGCTGCACCTGGCATAGCTTTTAATTTCAATATTGATTTTTTTGTGCCTGTCAACTTTTTTGCTGTTTATTTAAAAATTAGATGCTTCTCTTTTTAAAGGGTTGGAAAAAGCCTTGATGAAATGCATGTGCACAAAACACTTATGTTTCTCAGTATGAAGCATGCAGCAATATAAGATGTACTTCCTTCCACACTTTCATATCCCCAAAAAACTACACCCAAAGAACAGTAAATTCTAATATTTCCCCCTTTACATTTAAATGCCAAAACAATTAAAATTGTTGAACTTTGAAACAAGCTTTTTGTTTGTTTTATTTTTATGAATTCATATGCATTGTAAATTGTAACATTTTCACTTAGAACATCATACACCATGTGATCTTTGTCTCCAATCAAGGCAAAGGAATCCTTATAAAACATCCATGTTATATAATTTTGTTTCTTCCTTTTATAAGGAATTGTTTATATTCTTTCCATTGTATCTTGTTAATCCTTTAGAAATTTATATGCTGTGTAATATCAGACATGTAAACAAAACCTGTTAATTGAGGTACTTCAGCGATTTAAAAGATCCTTTGGAGCACTTGAGTTCACCCCTGGTTTTTAGTGGGCTTAGTTTTGCTTAGTCTTTAGTTTTCTGTGTAGTGTTTTGTGGACTTGTCTGTCTTTTTGTTTGTTTTTTTACCCTGGCGTTGTCAAATTTTCCTTGACTTTTGAGTTTTTAATGTCCCCTCGGTATACTTCACCTATTTTTATTTAAGCATCAAACTAGATGTGAGTCTGTAATATTTGTGAATAGATAGGTAATTCTTTACTAGTTTTATTAATTTCAGCAATTCTCATTTATACATTAAATTAAAATCTTTTTGAATTAATAACAACAGATAAAATATTTAATTCTTCAAAGCTCAAAAGAAGAGGTTTTGGATTCATGTAAGCTCAGACAGTGGATTTTTTCATATCTCAACCATAGCTGCGTATTTTTCTTCTGAACAATATGAGGGAAAGCAATAAACTTTGATTTATTTTTGAACCGATTTCTTTATAATTTCTTCCGACCATTTTTACAGAAATGGATTATGTCAACATGGTCAATGGTTTTCAGACTCTGCTTGATGAAGTTTTGTAGAATTATTTTTACTTTGCTTTGAAAATATTTTTTAATGTGTATTGAATCTAAGTAAAAATAGATGTTGAGTATTTCAAAAACATAATAAAACCAATAAGACATTTAGAGAGTAGAATGTATGTTTATTAGAAAAGGAAGAACATTTTTATTTTTAGTCATTCATGTCATTTATTTTTCAAGTATGTTTTGATATTAAATTAGGTAGTTTTTCTATTCATTAATGTAAGAAAAGGGTTTTGTTCATTTAGAATATTTTTAAGGAAAATCTTCCACATCTTTTGGGTTGTAATTTGGATTTTGTTGAATCAGTTGGTATATTTGCATGAAGTTTGAATCAAAAGTAGTTCTAAAATTTAAATTCATGAATCATTCTCGATATCTCCTAAGATATAACTTGCTACAGTACTTAAGTAGTAAATACAATATTTTAAAATAAAAAAAAAAAAGTACTGTTATTTCAGGAAACAACATTATTTCCTTGATAATATCGTATACCGGTAATCAGCTGTGGAAGAATATGATACAATAAGTATAGTGAACAAAATATGTATATGGTATCATATTCTTTCACAGCTGGTTATCAAGGTAAAAAATTGTTTCTTGAAATTATTGTAGTATTGTTTTTTACAATCTATTGGATCCTGGATAAAAGTATGATAAAATTAAAAACATTTTCAAACAAAATAGACAAATTGTACAGTATATTGTAACAATTTTAAATTAGTATTTGACAAGGGTAAATTATTTTTCATGTTTTTTCTCGTGTTCTAGCCTTCACAAAAGGTTTTACCTAGCATTGTTAAACCTTGTTTTATCTTTGACAAGCAATTTTACTGTATGATTTATCACCCATTGCTATTTTTGTTAAATTTATGTTTAACCAAACTTAAGAATAACTAGATATGTTCCTTATGTCGTAACTACAATACCCTTCCCTTTTCACGATTGTGACTTACTGAATTAGACTATTTACCAGATTTGTAATAACATAAGCAACACGACGGGTGCCACATGTGGAGCAGGATCTGCTTACCCTTCCGGAGCACCTGAGATCACCCCCAGTTTTTGGTGGGGTTCGTGTTGCTTAGTCTTTAGTTTTCTATGTTGTGTCATCTGTACTATTATTTGTCTGTTTGTCTTTTTATTTTTGGCCATGACGTTGTCAGTTTGTTTTCGATCTATGAGTTTGACTGTCCCTCTGGTATCTTTCGTCCCTCTTTTTAGATGTGTGCTAATATTGATAAGAATTGTCGACAGACTGTGATTTTGTTTTGTTTTTATTTGTACATATTGTTTTGATTTGTTATTTATTATGGACATTCACAAGGTAGTTCAGGCCATTCAAACATAGTTTTTGAATTTCTTAAGCCTGGTACATCTTTATTCGAAACAACATTTTCATAAATAAATCATCTATAAATGAACAGAATCCCATCTTTGAATCACATTGTGTAAACTATAGATTATATGCAAGAATAGTTATACATATCAAAAAGTGAAAAATGTTAAAAAAAAAAAATGTATAACTTTGCATTACAGGTCAACAGTGTTTGATTTATGTTAGTATTTGTGAGTCTACATGTTCATCTAACACATGTCATATGGCCTTTTTATTTAAAGATTAATACTATGTATTATTTAAGAACCATGCATTAATAAAAAAAATGGAAAATACATTTTGATTGTTAGATCTTTTCGTCAGTGTTGAATTGAAAAGAAAGGATGTAGTGTATCAATGCTGGACACAACATCCTACTGGTTTAAACATATTTTATTGTTCAGAAACTATACAAATGAATGAGACACCATTTTTACAACTTAGTAATGTCTTCTCTAGGAGAGAGAAACAAAATCCTACTGGACTTAACAAATCAGAAGCAAATAAAACGGTGCTTTTATTGTTGTTCTTCCTTTAAATATCCATTAATGATGGAGTCTTTTTGTAATTGTATGAGGAGGGAGGGGTTGTGTGAAAATTTTTGGGGAAAAAAGTTATTGATGACCCATCACTCCCAATAAATAGGCAGAATGAATATTTTGAAGTAACTGATCATGAACGTTACTGTTAAAAAGTTGTTTCCATAGGATTCAATTTTTTTATGCCCCCGCCGTATGCAATGAGGGCATTAAGTGTTACCCTTGAATGTCTGTCCTTCCGTCCATCCCATTTTGTTTCCACACTCTAACTTAAGTTTTCCTCATCCAAATTTTATGAAACTCATACACAATGCTGAGAACCAAAACTCGCAGACAGAGATTGAATTTGGATAGTCAGTCATTTACAGTTCTAGAGTTATGCCACATTATAATTTGGAAAATTACAAATAATTTTGTTTCAACACTCTAACTTCAGTTTTACTCTTGCAAATTTTATGAAACTCATACACAATGCTTAGAACCTCAACACACAATCAGAGTTTAAAATTTGGCAGTATGTCATTAACTGTTTTAGAGTTATGCCCCTTTATAACTTGGAAAATTGCAAAGCTTGAGCAGGGGGCATTCTTGGCCTCAGACACATTCTTCTTTTTGGTTTTGGTTTAAAAGATTTCTTACAATATTGTCAGTTTCATATTCCATGTCTTATCTGATCAAAGGTATGGTTCTTAAAGGATGATGTTTGACCAATTTTATATCGTTATGAAAACAATGTAACCATACATGTATAATCTTGAAAACTATAATAGATGGGCAGAAACTGTCTAAATAATCCTTTCTATACAAGATTTAGAAAATGTTAATATAATTGAAACTATCATTTGACTGCTTAAAGGATTTATTGTCCTGTAATTTACAAGTTATGTTTTATTTCAATGTTCCTGTTTTATTTCAATGTTCCTAACTATTATCTTTAGAAATATAATAGATAAACATAAACTGTGGACAGCAAGAAAGATAAACTTTATTCAAGATATATCCAAAAAACTAAAACCTTTCAATTGCCTCAATATATGAATTGTTACCCTTAGATGACAGTCTTTGACCAATTTTAACATTCCTGTTCATTAACTTGAAAATTTAATAGATAAACAGGAATTGTCACTCATCAGTAAAATGATTAGAAATACAAGCAGAGGCGATATTGGTGGGTGGGCGCCCTTATGGAACTTCATCTATGATAAATGCGTAGACTTTTTACAATAATCACTCCAAATTTGGCTTCCCAGGTGGTCCCCTTTTTTCAAAATCCTGGATCTGCACCTGACAAGATCTCACAAATACAAATACAACATTCAGAAACTGTAAGCAGCAAAAAATACTAATATGACTGAAACCATCAAATGACTACTTATATGATGATTTTAACAAATCATATTTTGTGGCGTAATGTTTTTATACGACCGCAAAATTTTTGCGGTCGTATATTTGTATGACGTTGGCGTCGTTGTCGTCAGAAGACCCATTGGTTTTAGCACAATAACTTTAGTTTAAGTGAATGGATCTCTATGAAATTTTACCATAAGGTTCAATACCACAAAAGGAAGGTGGGGAATGGTTTTGGGGGTTATGGTACCAACAGTTAAGGAATTAGGGGCCAAAAATAAACATTTTTGTAACTTCCAGACAATAACTTGTGTGTTAGTGTATGGATCTCTCTGACATTGTACCACAAGGTTCTATATTACAAAGGGAATGCTGGGATTGATTTTGGAGGTAATTGCCTCAAAATTTTAGGAATTAGGGGCCAAAAAAGGGAAAAAAAACCAAGCATTTTTCTAGTTTCATGACAATAACTTGTGTGTAAGTGTATTGATCTTTCTGAAATTGTACTACTGGTTCCATATCACAAAGGAAAGGCTGGGATTGAGTTTGGGGGTAATGAATCATAAGGGGGTTCAAAAAATTTGGGGGGGGGGGAATTTTTTTTTCTATTTTAAGACTTTTATGATGTATTTAAATTGGTAATTATGGTTGCAAACTCAATTGGAAATTTGAATGGAGATTATGACCGTATCTTGAGGGAAAGAATTTTTTTTTGGAAAAGGGGGGAGTGGGAGGTGAAAAAAAATTTAGGAGGGGGGCGGGGGGGGGGGGGGGGGGGGGGGGGGGAAGGGGGTAAAAAGAAGTTGTGGGGGCAATTTTTATACGACCGCAAAAAAATTTTTGTGGTCGTATATTGGTATGACGTTGGCGTCGTCGTCATCGTCGTCCGAAGACACATTAGTTTTCGCACTCCAACTTTAGTTTAAGTGAATGGATCTCTATGACATTTTACCATAAGGTTCAATACCATAAAAGGAAGTTGGGAATTGATTTTGGGGGTTATGGTACCAACAGTTAAGGAATTAAGGGCCAAAAAGGGGCCAAAAATAAGCATTTTTTGTAACTTCCAGACATAACTTGTGTGTAAGTGTATGGATCTCTGACATTGTACCACAAGGTTCCATATCACAAAGGGAATGCTGGGATTGATTTTGGGGGTAATTGCCTCCAAATTTTAGGAATTAGGGGCCAAAAAGGGGCAAAAAACAAGCATTTTTCTAGTTTCATGACAATAACTTGTGTGTAAGTGTATGAATCTCTCTGACATTGTATCACAAGGTTCCATATCACAAAGGGAATGCTGGGATTGATTTTGGGGGTAATTGCCTCCAAATTTTAGGAATTGGGGGCCAAAAAGGGGCAAAAAACAAGCATTTTTCTAGTTTCATGACAATAACTTGTGTGTAAGTGTATGGATCTTTATGAAATTGTACTACAAGGTTCCATATCACAAAGAGAAAGCTGGAATTGAGTTTGGGGGTAATTGCTCAAAAAGTTTAGGAATAAGGGGCCAAAAATAAGCATTTTTCTAGTTTCCAGACAATAACTTGTGTTCAAGTGTATGGATCTCTCTGAAATTGTACTTCAAGGCACCATACCACAAAGGGAAGGCTGGGATTGATTTTGGGGGTAATTCCCTCAAAATTTTAGGAATTAGGGGCCATAAAAGGGCAAAAAAACAAAAAAAATTCTAGTTTCAGGACAATAACTTGTGTGTAAGTGTATGGATCTTAATGAAATTGTACTCAAGGTTCCATATCACAAAGGGAAAGCTGGGTTTGAGTTTGGGGGTAATTGCCCTAAACCTTCAGGAATTTGGGGCCAAAAAGGGGCCAAAAAACGAGCATTTTTCTAGTTTCCAGACAATAACTTGTGTTCAAGTGTATGGATCTCTCTGAAATTGTACTGCAAGGTACCATACCACAAAAGGAAGGCTGGGATTGAGTTTGGGGGTGATGAATCATAAGGGGGTTCAAAAAATTTGGGGGGGGGGGATTTTTTTTCCTTTTTTTTCTTTAAAATTTTCCATTTTAAATTGGTTATTTCTGATTTATATATAAAAGCAAATAATAATGATATGGTTTGAATAGGTAAATTAAATTTTTTTAAGTTCTTAGACCACTTTCATTCTGTGTCAAATATTTAATTACAATCCAAATTCAGTGCTGTATCAAGCTTGAATGTTGTGCCCATACTTGCTCCAACTGTTCAGGGTTCGACCTCTGCGGTCATATCAAGCTGCGCCCCAGCGGAGCATTTTATTTTTTTTCATTTCAGATTTCAGAAAATAAAAAGAAAATTTCTTCAAATATTATTTCTTTTTGCAAAAAGAAAGGGGGGGTACATTTTTTTTTGGGGGGGGGGGTCAATTTCGCAATAGCATAGTGTGTTGCACAAAAGCAAAAAGCAAAAAATTGAATATAAATTCAAATCATATAACCAATTCTAAGTTCTTTGACTACAGTTATTCGGTGTCAGAAACCTATTTTGTGTCAAATATTTAATTACAATCCAAATTCAGACCTGTATCAAGCGCGAACATTGTGTCCATTTTTGCCCCAACTGTTCAGGGTTGGACCTCTGCGGTCGTATCCAGCTGCGCTCAGCGAAGCATTTTATTACCTATTATTTGAAAACTCCGATAGATAGCCAGAACCTGCCAACAGAAACATAAACAAATATTCATTGGAGCAAATCTTTGTTTATTGATTAAAAGAATTGGATAAAGGTTCAGTCTATATAAATCATTTCCCATATACAATAAGTCATCAATGAATTTGTTCGTTGACTGTTTTATGTCATTGAATGACTTTTTTTACTCATTATATGCCTGGCCCGCAATATGCAAGACATTTAGATTACTATCAGGCAGTAACAACAGCATAAACTATTTGTACAAAACTTTATATGTTATCAAGTTTCTGTTTGATATATGCCCTTTGTACTTGACCTCATTTTCATGGTTCAATGACTGTTTGAGTAAATGTTAAAAAATTTTGTCATTTAAAATACCACTTATTAAGTAATATGATATCTGTATTTGGTATATGGTACATGTCTGTCAGACAGGATTCACCTGACTCGGCACACCCTCGTTTCATGGATTAATAATGAATGTGAAGTTCAGATCTCAGATACTTTAAGCAACAGGTCAAATATATTTGGTGTAAGGAATGATTGTAAGGTTACATCAGTACATGTCTGTCTTGCTGATTTCATCTGACCTTAATCTCTTTTTCATTGTTAGTGTAAACATATTTTATTAAAGAATTTGTTATGGTAAAGCTACTAGAGTAAATGCATACGAAAAATGTAAGTAATACAAAAATTGGGATTAGGAAACAAAAGCAGTGTTCTCATATAAATCTGTCTCCCATTTTCATGGTTCATTTGTCATATCAAGTTTTCATGG